AGAGCAACCACTACAGTGGGTGCGGCGACGGCAGAGCCCATGGCCAGGTAAGTGAATCCCCGTGGGCTCGGCAACGGTATGAGTGCAGCGACGACAGAGCCCATGCTCAGGGAAGGGCATGCCCCGGGGGGCTCGGCAACGGTATGCCGATGGACTTCGACGCGATCGAGGGCCAGGTCGACGCCATCGACGACGACGACGATGACTGGGGCATCGTCGGCCTCGCCGAGCCCGTGGGCAACCGCGCTCTGGGCATCTGCGAGGCCGCCGGCGACCCCGTGCGGCGCGCTCGCGCAGCAGCCCCGCTCCCGCCCTGGACGCGCTGGTCTCGCGCTGGGCGACGCGTTGGATGCGCGATCCCATCGAGGGCCAGACATGCGAGGATCGATTCGAATTCCTAGACTGGTGCATTCGCGTCCTCGCCAGCGAGCTCGGCCGCCCACGCTATGAGTGGGTCCTGGGGGCTCCTGGGGGGTCGGCGAGTCCGCGTGCTGCTGAGATGTGCGCCGCGGCGTGGAATTGCGGCGAGAGATCGCGAGGGCGCTGCCTGAGCTGGCTGAAATCTCTCAGCCGTTGCCGACTCAAAGCGGCCCTCGACCTCCTCCGAGCTGGCCTGCAGAGGCCATGCTGTTGGATAGCCGGCCCTTCGCGCTCGGGCCAAGCGCCCCCAGTCGGACCTCCTTGGCGCCGACGGGGTAGCTTGGCCGACGTCCACTGGAGGCAGTTATCTAGTGATATCCTGCTGGACACAGATGGCGGCGATTTCGAAGACGACGACAGCCGCCGCGCCGAGCACCGGGGCGGGGCCGATGATAGCGGCAAGCCGACGTCAGGGAGGAGATCGCCTATCGCGGCGACAGAGCCCACGGCCAGGGATGTGCATTCCTCTTGGGGGGGGGGGGTCGGCGATGGCCCGCTGCTGGGCATCAGCGTGCCCTGGGGCCTTGTCGACGCCAGTGACCCCGACGACGATGACTGGTGCATGGTCGGCCTGTCAGAGGGCGAGGGCGGCCCCGCGCAGGACATCCGCGATGTCGCGGATGGCGGCCGCGGGTTTGATGGGGCGTAGCGGGGCGGTGGCCGCGTCGGGGAGGGTTGCAGCGCCCCCCTCCAGCGCGCGCCAGGCGTCGCAACGCGAGGGGTCGCCGTGAGCCACGAGACCTCGGAAGTTAGAACCCAGGGGGCGGCCTCCCTAGTTCGAAGTCGCCGCGGGCTGGATGGAGAGGCGGCCTAAGCGCGGCTCAGCGGTGGGGGCGCGGCCCCTCGGGGCCTGCGGCGGGCGGGGCCTGCCGCGATGCGACTGCTGGCTGGGCGCGCCGTGGCGTTTGGGCGAAAGTCCCGCTGTAGCGTTCGGCCCCGCGTCGCCGAAGTTGCCGAGATCCGCCGAGACCAGGGGGTGTCCGTCCTGGCGCCGCGTCGCCGTCTTGTCGGATTCCCCCAGCGAGCCCCTCGAGCACGGGGGGGGGGCTCCTTCGCCCGGGCCCATGGGCAAGCATGGTAGAGGCGGTGAGGGCAGAGCCCAACGACAACGGCTTCGAGGCGCTCTGCGCGACTGGGCTGGGACTTGGCTGCGCCTCGAGCCAGCGGCCCGCGACGAGATCGAAGCGCGCCTTGAGTGGGAAAGGTATGCGAGCCATATGTATATAGTAGTGCATTTGGAGAAGATGCCTTTGCAGCGCTGGTGCGCCGTGCAGCCATGCGCAACTCTTGCGGTGCGCTGGGCGCGCGCAGAATCCTGGCGCGGTGCATCTGCAGTGACACTTGGGCTGGTCAAGCCCGAGATCGAGCTCAGTGCATGGCGCGCTTCCTGGAGGTGGCGCGCAGCGCTCGCCCCTGCGTGTGCCGGGTGGAGGTGCGCAGGCGCGCGGTCGCACTGAGGGCGACTGCCAGCTTCGCGGGCGGCAGCTCTCAGCCCCGGGCGCGGCGGCGATCCGGGGGCGCACCCGCTTCAGCTGCAGGGGCGACGTCTACTGCGACGGCGGCGGCCGGAGCTGCAGGGGCGCCGCTGGGGCCACGCGGCTCGCCCCCCTCCCCCCCCGACCAGCCCGGGGCCGGGCGGCGCAGGCGGCGGAATGCTACCAACTTGGGTTTCGCCACCCTGCGCCCCGACTCGAGGTCCTCGGCCCAGGGCGTCTTGGAGTGGCAGCTCCAGCAGGGGGGGGAAGCGGCCCATGGCTGGGCCATCCAGGAGACCCGTCTGGCATCTTCGGCCATCCTCTCTGCCCGCGAGCGGGCTGGACACCGCGGGGTCAAGGCGGTCTTCAGTGCGGCGTTTCGCGCGAGAGAGCACGCGCTGGCGACTTGCGCTGGCGCCGTGGTTGGCGTCGTCTCGCGCCTTCGGAGCAAGCCCCTGTCGGAGTCGGAGGTTGACCTGCGTGAGGCGTCGCGGGGGAGTCTCGATCATGGAAGTCGATGCCGCGATGCAAGCTGGTGTCATTTGGGTCTCCGTCTACGCCCGTGTAGGTCTGAGTGTTCTGGAGCCAACTTGGAGCTTCTGCAGGGCCTGGGGGCGCATCTGCATGGGCGTGGGCGCCCCTGGATGTTTGCGGGGGGCCTGGGCATGGGGCCCGGCGACGCGGGGCTTCGGCGTTGGAGCCAGCTGCGGGGAGGCGCGATCGCC